AACTGGGCCAGCAGAGTGGCCTGGGACCACTTGCCCAGCTGGGCCAAAAGAAATTAAAAATATTGAAATTAAAAAATGTATATATATTTTTTAATTTTATTTTTTTGTTTAAATTTGGTAGAGAATTAAAATAAGTAAAAATGTTCTTTAGTTTTTTTTTTTTTTCCTGTTTGCCAAATGCCCGTTCTATTCTGGGGGTCTCAGTCCGGTTGCTCATTACTGGCAAGCATGTTTCTGCATCTGAAAAGAGGAGGGGGGGAGAGCAGACAAGACAGAGGGCCAGCCCATCCCTTGTGGCCCTAACGCCTGGCAAGGGGGGGACTGTTTTGGGGCAACCCTCCCCCTATCCTTAGCCTTTCAGGGGGGTTGTCCTACTGGCCGGGAGGCTTACTGGTAGCACCCAGTCACACATTAGGGCAGCCCTCAGATAGGCGGGGTGGGGAGGGTGCTCCTAACAGTTCCTCAGGCTCCTTTTCAACCTGTTACCTGTTTCTAATATCCCTCATCACACATTGACCCTACATTACCTATGTCTAAAGCCCATATCTGGTTCCAGCCTATTTCCCTATATTGGCATGTGCACCTTTACCTAACTACTGTCACCCAGATTGTGTTCCGCTTGCCCCCTATATCTATACAAGCCATGATAGGCCCTCCTACCAATTCCTCAGGCCGCTTAACATCCTATTTCGGATATCGTATACCCCTGGCATTTATACAAGCCATGATAGGCCACAATCCACCCACTTGTTTTAATGATGTTTCATATTTTCTGTCTTTTTACAGATCCTTTAAGTATTGGCTGGGACCTTCCCTGGTCCTTGAACAGGCCGGCCGCCCGGGCAACCAAGTTTACATGGGCGGCCTGGCCGGTAGCCCATAAATTTAAGCTATATCATGCCTCGACAATAATGATAGTGAGCGACAAAATTGAAATCACACCAGCACTGCAAAGCATCTTACATTCAATCATTCGGCTGACACGAAAAACATACATTCAAAATGAGAAGGGAGGAGAGCAAAAGAAAGAAAGAGAAATGGCGAGAAGGAAGGAGAATAGTCCAAACTCAGACTTGAGGCTCAGATTCGGAAGCATTAACTAGTCTCTCTCCGGGATCCTTAGACAAGAACATGCCAAACCATATTCCAACACTCTGACACAGACAGTCTGTCATGTCACGCCCACAAATTACCGAAGTCATCACCGCTCTTAACCCGATTACACAAGCCAAGTTCGCCTGTCCCCCGCATTCCGTCGCTGTGACATGTCAACCCCACACAATCGCAGCCAGCTTGTCAGGCCTTTTCAACCTGCTCACTCACCTCGCACCAACCAAATCCTTACACTCAGCTAGCAGACCCTCCTTATCGTGCTAACTTGCAAGTTAGATTAGAGAGAGAAAACTGTGCTTCCTAAATTTATTGTTGGGGGGTGCATGCCCGACAAAAAACGGGATAAAGTGAGAGGGAGTAGAAGAAGAAGGGATTGGGAAGTGCCTATGAGTTGCATGCGTGGACCAGGGTGTGGGGAACTCAGCCGGTCTCCATGCGCCGATCCCAGATGCATCGTCTTGGCCGATGAGAATTAAGGCTGGGGGAAGAAGGCGGGAGAGAAGATGTGAAGGCCAGGGTAGGATGCACGAGCACCAAGAAGAAATAGTTACGATCACGGTTCAAGAAGGCAGAAGGAAGGCGAAGACAATTGGAAACCGCAAGCACAGCGAGCAAAATCAAGGCGTGAGGGAGGAAATGCGCATGAAGGACAGCACGTGTGGGAAGAGGGCAAGGTTCGCGCCAAAACCAAAAGCGGGAAGCCTAAATCTTGAAGCTAGTTAAAAGTCCTAATTAACAAAAAATTCTGAAAAAGAAATCCTAACTATATGTGCGTATTAATGTGTGGATCACCACCACACTATAAGATTCAAATGCTGCTTCGTCGAACTTGCCGGGCAAAAAGTCCTAACCGAAATACTACCCTTGGCGCACGTACAACTTGTCAAGAAAAAGACAAAATGAAAGGTCAGCCACATCATCCAGTTCCTGCGCTCACTAAGGTGCGTCCTAATTGCAAAATTATACAAAAAGAAAGACATCCCAGCTGTGAGTTGCATACTTAACCTTCTGATAATAGTACAAAGCTAACACTGCCCAGTGGACCCGTGTCGCTAATGATGAGCAGTGGCTTTTCTTCACGACCGTGCCGCTCTGATCAGCGTGAGCGCTGGCTTTTCTTCACGACCGTGCCGCTCTGATCAGCGTGAGCGCTAACACTGCCCAGTGGACCTGAGTACTAAGCCTCACAATGATGAGCAGTGGCTTTTCTTCACGACCGTGCCGCTCTGATCAGCGTGAGCGCTAACACTGCCCAGTGGACCCGACTTCTCGTGGCAAGGCGTGAAGCACCACGCACGGGCGCCGCCACCATTTTTGGAACTTCGAACGCGTTGCTGCGGGGGTAGAACGACCTTGAGCCACGTCACGCCACGCCCTACGGCGTGGCTCAGGCGAGAGAGAGAGGGAGGGGAGCACGAAGGGGTAGGAGACAGGGGGAAAAGATTAGGGGAGAGAATTGTCTTGACGCAGGCGACAAGAGTGGAAAGGGGGGACAATGAGTAAGAATGATGATATAAGGGGGGGGGAAAAAAAAGGGCGAGAAAAGGAAGGGAAAGGACAAGAAAGACAAGGAAAGCTAAGAAGAGGAAGGGACAGAAAGCTCTCGTGGAAGGAGAATTCCTTATGAAGAAAATGTAAGGGCTCCACTAACGACAGGGGAAGCCGAGAGGTAAGATCGTTCCTTTAACTCACTCTGGTCTCGTCTACTTGAAGACAAGAGGTCAAGAAGGAGAACAACAGGCGTTCCGAAGTGAAAACGACAAATCGAAGAAGTGTCAACATTCCCCCGCCTTACGAAGAGCGTCAGTTTCAAGAAGAGTAGGGACATAGGTTTCAAGGAAACCTTTCTGAAATTTGAAGTGGACGGCGTAGAAATTCACGGAGTCATTATTATTCAGCAAAGTCTCTATTATTAGTAATAGAAAGTGGGGAGATCTACGTACCGGAACGCTCGCCATTATTGCTCGATTTCTGCCGCATTTTGTGCCATTTATTCAACTTTAGTACATCCCGTTCTAACAGTAAACAAAACAAGGGAAGAGGCCAGCCCCACTTTTATATCGGTCAATCGCTCCATTATAACGAGTAGAGGGCAACTCAATTCGGAACGTAGGCAGTTTGGACGATAGTGCGGTGGCGCAATTTTCTCAATGCACTCAATCACATTACACAATTTACTTTCACTCTGTTTCAATTACTGTTTGACTGCAACCATCCGGAAGGGAGAGTCTGGATGTATGTAGACATTGTAGAGACTATAGCAGTCTACCACGTTCGAGGTGAATCCATCCCTATTTAGATCAGTGATTCATTGACCACTCACCTTCACCTTCTAAGTGGGTTCCAAACCCAATAGGGAAAGCAGATAGCACAATTTCCCATTACGCTCAAATTTGCATTGCTTGTTTCATCATTGCTTTTGCCTTTCCAAGGCTGCGCCCATAATTTATTCTCTCCTTCTTACACGACGACCTAGAATCCAGGACCAGTTTATCGCTCCATTATAACGAGTAGAGGGCAACTCAATTTGGAACGTAGACAGTTTGGACGATAGTGCTGTGGCACAATTTTCTCAATGCACCCAATCACATTACACAATTCACTTTCACTCTCTTTCAAATGCTGCTTGAGTGCAACCATCCGGAAGGGAGAGTCCGGATGTTTGTAGAGGCTATAGCAGCCTACCACATTCGAGGTGAATCCATCCCTATTTAGATCAGTGATTCATTGGCCACTCACCTTCTAAGTGAGTAGGAGCAAACCCAATAGGGAAAGCAGATAGCAGAATTTACCATCATGCTCAAATTTGCATTTGCTTGTTTCATCATTGCTTTGCCTTTCCAAAGACCTGCGCCCAGAATTCATGCTCTCCATTGTACACGACGACCTAGAATCCAGGACCAGTTTATGTGAAAAAAGTTTGAGCGGCGACCACCCCACCATCATTCCCAACATAACTACCCACCCAAACCACTGTCGAATCCCAGAGCATACCACCATTCTCCACGACCTGCCATCCAGCTGCGGCCCAATTTCACCGCGCCACCTGGATCTCTCACGATACGCACAGCCCCTCACCCTACTACCACCCCCATTGGATAAAGCAGGAGGGCACACAATGCCTCACCTCTCTGCAAGTATACCGCCTACAAGGAAACAAGATTTTAGCATATCCCCACAACTCAAGGTGGCCCCACCCTACTCTGGACCGCATAACCCAGCACTCAAATATGGCGCAACCGTACATCCAAGCAGCAAGGAGAGCTCTCTCCCAGCAAGATAAGGCTCAACCGGAGTCGTCCTCAGAAGCCAATCCTACAGCCTCCCAGACGAGCAGCCCTTCACAAGCAGCATCCAAAACACGGGGACAAAAAGCAGTAGAACTTTTGATGAGTAAAACAGAAATATAAAAGCAGAAGTCGTCAAAACGAAGGAAATAATCAAACACACAGCAGGAGAGGAGGCTGAAGTAGAAATCTGGGAATATCCTCGGCTACAGCCGCAGTCATTGAACGAACTGTACGAGAGACACGCTGTTGCATACTAGTGAAAGTGAACAGAAGTATGATGCAGAATCTAGAACCGACCATTACAAAGAGCAATATAATGCAGCGGAAGACTTGAAAACATGGATCTGTCTCACATCCGACTCGGACTATACACAGGCTCACACACATGCATTCATCGGGTGAGAAGGCCTGGCGCTCAAACATAGAAGATGCGCCAGGGCCTGTACACAACACACACGGACGAATGTAGGGGGAAGAGACGAAAGGAGGAGGAGGAGATGGCGCCACCACAAAGTCCCCAAAAAAGTAATCCAAAATGTCGGAGATACAGAATTCTCGGAATGTCGAAGTTACAGAATCTCGAAATGCCATTGGTAACAGATCTCCAAACCGTCCTCCCGACATCCTACTCTGCAAATAGTCTCAGTCTTGATGTCACCGATATCTCACCATCGATCCCTGTCCCATAGTAACCGAGAAAGTGAAAGGTTAGGAGGAGGAGAAGAAGAAGAAGAAGAAGAAGAAGAAGAACCGAGAGGGGCAGAGGAGAAGGTGGAGATTGAGAGGTGGGGCGGAGGAAGATCCTCCTGCCCTGATCCAGTGTCCAGGCACCAACCTGTAGGTGCAAGATGCCGCCTTGGAGCTGTTGAAGACTCGCCCTTGCTGCTGGTTTTATGGCGCTCACAGGTAAGTGCCAGGTAAGTCGCTACTCTCTCTCTCTCTCGCCTCTACAGCTAGCGCTAAACCCAGCGCGGCTGCCTGGAGCTGCGCTAACCAAAATAGCGCAGCGCTGCATCCTCAATGCCGCGCCTCCGAGTCTGTGTTGAACAGACCGCTGGCTGGTCCTAAGTACCGGCGGTGGCCTGTTCGACCTGGCTGCTGGTGAAGCCGCGCCGTGATCTGTACCGTTCCGGTTGATCGGCGGTTCAGATCAGACCCGCGGGAAGTGGCAACCTCAATCCTCGGCCGCCAGGCTCAAACGAAAAACCGTTTGGGCCGGTGTCCCGTTCAGGGCCTGCAGGTGCAGGCCTGGGTCTACAACCGGTTTGCTGGGGCCTACCGTCGGCCTTTCCAAAGGTCCAGCCTTTAACCCAGGCTGGACTGGCCCGGCATGGCCACGGTCTGGGATACCCCCCTAGACCTAGCCGTCGGGCCTAATAGGGCCCGTGTGGAATCCAGTATGTAACACACGCAGTTGTTTTCAATTTCACCAACAAGAACAGGGATTTACAGCTGAAGGAGAAGAGAAAGTGGGTACAAGACAGGTTGATGGACCTGGAAAGCGTCCCAGGAATGGAACCGGACGTGTGGTGGCACAAGCGAGGAAAATACACTGTCATGATCTTGTGTGTGGATCCCTCGTATGCCCAGATTCTAGTCTCATTGTGTTCACTGAAGTGCGAAGGATCAATTGTGACGATCCAACCATGGAAACCACCCAGACAGCCGCAGGCCGAGGAGTCCAGGCATCGCCAGACGATGCTCAGGAACCACTTCTGGGTGCAGTTTGACAACCTATCAGAAGGAATGCACAGCTTCTTACAAAAAAGGTTGCAGGAGGAATACCCCAACAGCCCAATCATAGATTGGCAACCAGCAAACCCCGACTTCATGGCTCTGAACCATGGCGCCCGAGTGGCGTGTCTAAAGGTATCATCAGGCACGCCCCTGAAATTCCCGGATGTCTGGATCTTCAGAAAAAAGAGGAAAAATTGAGCGTGTTCATTTCCACAAAAACTAACCCCTGCTGCTTCAAATGCAGGAACAAGGGGCATCACGGAATGCACTGCCCGCTCGCAGGGGAAATCGGAAAGGAGGTCATACTCAAACAGTCAATTCTGGTTGAGTGTGACATCAAGCCAGGAGTATGGTATATTAACGAAGCACGATACAGAGGTTTGAAATTCGATGACAATCTGGAGAACCCAAAATGGATCTGGGTACTCCAGGGTGAACCCAAATTCAAGCCAGATATCTACCCCCCCTACGACAGCAGATGGAGGAATGGCAGGAGCTAAACGAATGGAAGATAAGAACACTGGCTTTCTGACAGAACAAATAATCAACGAAAAATTGCCGAAAATGGTTTGTTGGATGGAAAGCAAAGATTACTAGATTAGAAACCATTAACGAATTGCACACGATAGACCGAAACGCCGAATGCGCCTATCTGGAGAACCAGAGAGCAAGAACAGCACCGGAATATCAACAGGACTCGACCTGTTCAACCCCAAAGTCGTTACTTCCAGTACACAGATCAGGGCCAGTCTACAGATCGATGGATCCCTGAAACGCAAACCAGAGGATTCAGAAAGCGAATTGGCACAATCAGCAGCGGGTAAGAGGAAGCAGAGGGCAGTGGGTCTGGCCAATGCTCTGTCCAAGCACATGGATGTAGAGGACAGCGAGCAAAGAGGACAGGCTAGTATCTCTCAGGGAGGGTCAGCATACAGGCAAGGAGGGAAACCTCAGACAGACATGGAGAAAGACCCCTCCCAGCGAACAGAGAAGGGAGAGGACATGCATTGCTCTCACCGGTGGCCCAGCCTAGCACTCAGGACAGCAAGGAAGGGGCACAAAGAGAACAAGAACAGGAAGAGACTCAGCTCACTCAATTGCAGAATTGCAGGATTCAGATGAGAGAGACTCTGAGAGTCTGAGGAGGACTCAGACGAGGATTTGGATGAGGAAGACAAGGATGAAGAGGATTTGATATAGGGGAGGATGAAGAAGACCAAGGGCTGGACACGGAATCCCTAGACTATGTACAGCAGTACATTTGTTGGCTGGAATTGGAGAGAACGGTGGAGCTTGAGGTAAGGCTGGCACATCACAAGCACCTTCGCAACCTTAGATCGGCAACTAAGAGAGAGGAAGACATAACCATGGAGAACAGATTTGAAATCCTCAGAAAGGAAAGAGCAATTAACGAGGTCTGTGCAGCACAGTATGGCATGAAGACAAGAGTGGAAAAGAACAAGATTAAAGTGGATCAAAGAAGCTATGAACGAAGATTCAACTGGCCCAAATCATACGCAGAACAAAGCGCGGACGAAAGAACCAAGAAGCAAGAAGCAAAAGATCCAAACCAACCAAAACCCCACAGGGAAGGAAGAGCAGGACTCAGACCCAACACCACAGGGGACAGACCCAGTGGAGGATCTCAGAAGACAAGCAGCAATCTTGGCGGCTCAGGGGATTGTTCTGAGGGATCAGAACAGGGAGCTGAATGAGAACTGTTCAATGTTTCAAGATGTGGCTGGAGGAGTGCACAAAGAAACAGAAGCCGCAGCCAGGCTGGATGCACACAACAGCTCCAGACGGCGAACAGTGATACCATACCGCTTGAACAGCACCTTTGAGACATGGGAGAGCATATTACAGATCCCACTCCCTGATGTCAGAGTTGATCCTTGACTACTTGGGATAATGTCAGCTGTTTCACCTGTAGTGACCCAGGGCATTCACCACCCCTGAACTGACATCAATCATTCAATTCCTTTGAACTGGCGGGAACTTCAGGCGTGAAAGACTCACTCACAAGGAATTCTCAATCAGCGTCGAGGCAGATCACAATATGGTACCGAAAAACAAAGAATTTGAACTTGGAAATCTGAACCTTAACGCCAGTGTTCTCGAGTTTCAAGTTTGAAGTAGTAAGCTTGAAGTCAAATTCTCGACCTGGGAGCTCTGAATAGGGGAAAAAAGGCAGGTCTAGGATATTTGGGCAGGGATCACTCACCTGTAGTAAGTTCTTGGACATGATGTTGAGTGATTCAGCAAGAATCCACGAGATGGTTTGGGTTTTCAGTCTTTTGACATGGATAAAAAGATGGATTTTGTTCATGAAAAAGTATCCTTTCAGATATCAATATGGGTTACTAACATGTCTCTTCCCATTATGTCTGTCTTGGATCATTATGTTGATGTTGAAATGGCCCCAGCATGAAGGAGGTGCAAGTTATAAATGTGACGGCAACTTTTGTTCGAGAAATGCAAATGATAGTGTAAGTCCTGAGTCCCTTCGCTGATGCGGAACATTTATTTCCTTCATTTCCAGATGGTTCCTGAATGACTGATCCTCATGATCGCTTTAACTTTAACACAGCTGCTTTTAATCCAGGGGTCACAATGGTTGATTTTTCCCTATGGAAGCCAAATGCCTGCAAGGGTCAGACAGATGGCTCACTTTGCCACACCTAAAATAACATGACCACTGACCGGTCAATTTTGGATCATGAGCAAATTGGACTTAATGCTGATCCGTGAACGGCACAAAACGCGAAACCAACTTGAAAAACGAGATCTTCATCAAATTTTTGGATTCGCTGCCTCTCTCTCTCTCTCTCTCTCTCTCTCTCTCTCTCTCTCTCTCTCTCTCTCTCTCTCTCTCTCTCTCTCTCTCTCTCTCTCTC